GCAGTAAGAGCAAGTTGAGAAACCAAGAGACAGATTAGGGGTGACAGTCCTGTTCTGAAGGGTTAACCTACAAACCGTGAGCAGAGATTTAAACCTGGGGAGGGCTCAAGAGACCTGTTGGTGTTTCAGCCTTTGGTTTCAGTGCTGAGAACAAGAGCCCTAGAGTTCTGCCGAACATTTGGAAATGTAAATTATAAGCTCAGGGATGGTTTCTAGTACCCCACTGGACTTAGTATCAGTGGACAATCGAGATAGCCTGGAAAATAAAATTTGGGATGTGGAAGCCTAAGCATTTTAGGTACCAAAACTTCTCGTGTTAACCAGTTTTACTAACCTTTGATGATGGCTTACTGGTTTTTCTTAATCTTTTTAAATTGAGAAATATTAGATATTCTGCTGTGTGCTTGATTAACTTACAGTTGGTTTGGGACTTGGCTTGATGTCTTGAGTTGCTGGAAAAATCCTGATTTATTCACTTAGGTCTGTGCAAGCTTTGCTCTTCTCCATGAGGTGATATAACAATCATACAGGTCCACAGTCCCTCGTTTCAAGTAAGTTTCTGAGTTTAGATGTCCATATTGCAGAAAGGTGATCGCATACAGAGTGTCTGACCCCATGCACTTTTTCAGCGTAGTATTCAGCAAAAGATCTGAATGCTTATACTAAATGAGGTAAGAACTGTATAAAAAGCCCAATGTGAGGTCAGTTAAAGTTTTGTCACCACATAAATTTGGGAGTCAGAAAGATTTTGCTTTATGTAGGTTTTTCAATTTTGAAATTGGAGAGAAGTTACGGACTTGAAGAAACATTTAATAAAGATTTGTTCTATGCCAAGTCCAAGCTAAATGCTGGACTATGTATCATGTCATTAAATCCTCACAATAAGATAGATTTCTGTTACTCCCATTTTACAAGTGGAGAAAACTCATGCAGAAAGGACACAACTTAGCCACAAGCACACACTGATTAAATAGGCTCAACAGTGAGCCAAAGCTCAGAGAAGTGCTTATTATGAGTCAGGCATTGTTCTGAGCATTTTATGCGCTCTCAATTAATCTATGTGCTACCCTTTAAGGTAGTCACAGTTACTTATCTCCTTTTAACAGCTAAGAGACAACTGGGAGAACAGAGAATGTGCCCAGGGTTCAGTCTGGATGGTGTGATTCCGGAGCGTGTGAGCTCGGCCTCCGTACTGTGCAGTGAAGATGTTAGCAGTACCACAGCTGGCTGTGCGAGTGTACAAGATTAGTTCCTGTGTTGACAGCCAGAGCAGCTCTCTGAATTCACGTCCTCAGATGCTGGCGTTAACATCATGCTTCTTATTCATGGATCTCTTTAGGGCAGGCTTTAATGTTGTTTTCATGAAATCATTTGCTGTATGTGCCTTCACATCTGCTCACCACCACTCCACCTCACTGTCCCGCCCTGTTTCCTGGTAGAGGATGATTGCGTGTGGCCATCACTCCTGGAATATATTCAGGTGTACTGGGGAGAGCTCTGACCCCAGCCCTGCTGCACTCTGGTAAGCCAGTCTCCAAGTCATCGCAGGCACAGCCAACACGAAAACAGCGTCTTTGAAGGGGACTCTCAGTCCCTGTTGTTGGAAACATAAATTAGTACAACTCTTGTGGAAAAGAGTGTGGAGATTCCTCACAAAACTAAAATTAAATCAGGATAAAGGCACCCACCTGTAGTCTCAGCATCCTGGAAGCCAACGGAGGAGGAGAACAAGTATAATCCCAGCCTGGGCAGCTTAGTGACTTAGTGAGGCCCTGGCTTCAAATAAAAAGTGTTGAAAGGGCAGAGGGAGTAAAACCAAGCTAGAAGTATAGCACACGATCCAGCAGTCCCACGCTGGGGTGCATCCAAAGGAAAGGAAGTCATTATCCCAAGGAAACACCTGTGTTCCCATATTTATTGTAGCGCTGGTCACTGTGGCCAAGATACAGAATCAGAGTGTGCAACAAAAAAATGGATAAAGAAAACCTGATAAAGGAATACCGTTCTATAAAAAAAGAGTGAGGCTCTGTAATTGCAGCAGCATGACAGAACCTGGAGGACATTATATTAAATGAAACGTACATGAAGCTAAAAACATTGATCTCACAGCAGTCAGGAGTAGAATAGTGGGTACCAGAGTCTGGGAAGCTTAGGGAGCTGGGGAATAGAAATTGGTCAGTGAGTACAAAAACTTAGATAGGAATGAGGCCTAGTGTTTTATACAGCTGATTTGCTATAGTGAATAATTTATTGTATATTTCAAAATAGCTAGAAGAGAGGCTTTTGAATGATCCCCAACATAAAGAAATAATAGATTTGAGGTGGTAGATGTGCTCATTACCCTGGTTTGATCATTACATACTGTATCTGTGTATGAAAATATAACACTGGGTCCCATAAATATGTACAGCTATCACATCAATATATTCATAAATCAGATCTCGAGATATTAATGCCACATGGAATCATTCTAGGAAACTACCTCATTCTCTGCAGCGTTGTTTTGGTCAGCACGTTGGGGCGGAGGGCTGTGCTACGTGGAGGGCAGAAGGTGGGCAGGGTTTCCCGCACCCCCTGCTCACCTTGGGTAGACCTGGTTTTAAAGATGATCTGACACCAGCGATGGAAAATCTAATGGAATTTAACAGGAGTTGATAGAGCTTTGTGGAGGGGAGGGTGTCATTTTATTTTTCATTTTGTATTGTTTTTTTTCTGACACAGAGTCTTGCTTTGTAGTTCAGGCTGGCCCTGAACTCACTATGCAACCCAGAATGGCCTTGAGCTCCTGGCAGTCCTCCTGCCGCAGCCTCCAGAGTGCTGGGATTATAGGCATATGCCACCACACCTGACAGAGGTTTTATTTTGAGGTTGTCTCTGGGAATAGTCACCTTTCCTTGTCATTTCATCCAGAGAAGAACTGATGCATTTTATCGCGACTGAGACGGCCCGCTCCGGTGAACATGCCCAGTATTCTTCTGTAGCCTGCTCCTCCTAACACTGCATATCCAAGAGATCAGTGTGGTCCATTTGCTCATAAGAATGAATCAGCATCTATAGTTAACCACCAGGCCACCACTGGCACAGAGGGGCACTCAGGACTCCGTGCTTTCTCTGTATGTGGCAAGTAGTTTCTCCCACAGGTGTCAGGGCTGCCGTCCTGGTGCAGGGTACTCCCCTGAACCGTTGCTGAGCCTGCAGCCACACTGGCTTGAGTACCTGCAGCAGGACAGCACCTGGCTCGGTGGTGCCCTGTCAGGCACTACAGGCTGAGTCTGGCTGCCCTCCTTCCCTGTCACAGGTCCCATTTGATATGCCTCCAGGAGGCATAAGCGCCATCATCCTGAGACCCGAAGACAAGTGTAATGTTGGTGTGCTTTTTCTGAAGGTTCACCTCAGGGAGCCCCACAGATTCATCCCCCACAGAGTTGACAGAACCATTTTTCCTCTGCCCTTTGTTACTGCCTTTTCACTTGGCTCCTTGTCTTCACTGTGGCTTCTAAACTCCAAGGCTCAGGAGCTACTTATTTGCGGCAGGGCGTGTTTTCTCTCCACTCCCCGCTTTTACTTAGCGTTTCAGTGCCATGTGGGTTCCTGAGATGCTCCGACCTCCGTACGCCAGAAGCTGTGCAGGTGACTGTTAGCTTTCCCTGTGCAGTGCTAGACTACCTGATCATTGTCAGAGAGTGCTGTGGACTGATTTGACTCACACATGCTCCTCAGGTACTTTCAAGAAGCTTAGCTTAAGTCAAAAATGCTCTTAACTCCTAACCTTTGGTGCATCATCGCTTAAGTGAGCCGGATTCCTTAAACCAGCTCACAAAACGATAGCCTGCAGTTGGACAAAATCACCTAATGCAAAACCTGTTTTGTAATAAAGTTATAAATAATTTGGAATCAAAATTTCAAGTCTGGTTTCTACTGAGTAAGTATTGCTTTCACACCGTCATAAAGCTGCAGAGGTTAATTCCTCGTCAGAGCCCATCTATATTGTGTAGGATTCTCTGGCAGAGTTTGATAGAAAGGTGAATATTCCTCATTTTTCTTTAACACAAGCCAACCTGAATAAGATGGTTCTGGAGATCAGCAGAGTGCTGAGATAGCCTGTCACATGGCAGCAGGTTTTCATGTGTGTGGAGTTTCCTTTATCAAAATGAAAATGCTACCTCACCTAAAAATTTATAACTTCCATGATACGTAATTCTATCTAAGCATATAAATTGGCGGTTTAGTTACTGTATGTCTCCTGGATGAACCTGAATCATGGAGCTATTTAAATACACTCTGCATAGAAAGTTACCCTGGGGCTGGGGATTTAGCTCAGTGGCATAAGCACCTGCCTTGCAAGCAGGCGGTCGTGAGTTCGATCCCCGGTACCGATAAAAAAAATGAAAAAGCCAAAAAAAAAAAAAAAAAGAAAGTTACCCCAAGGGGCAGTGTGAGGAAAGTGCTCCTTAGGAAGCAAAGACTAGATTCCTGAGAGGGGAGACTTAAAGTAAAAAGAGATTATTGCATATTTATGGGTTCCTTACACAATATTTTATTTTGGGAGTAGATCATTTAGTTCCTGTATTCAAGATGTACTAGGTTATACTTTTTCAATGCTTGGAAGATATATTTTCATCCTTTGGTAATAAAAAGCAAGCCACAATACATTTAATTGGAGGCCGTATAGTCAAGTCATTCATTTGTGTAAAAGTGAAATACTAAGTGATTCTCTTAATTGGTATTGTGGGCAGTATCTGTACATAAAGTTCACGGGAAATTTGGTTTCAGGAAGGAAGGAAGGTTGTAGCAGGCATCTTCAGCCCATCTCGGGAATTCTGAAGTCTTGACTTGCTTGCCTTGTACTCTGAGTTTACACTAGATGGCATGCAAGGAAAGCTGAAAACCCAGCAGCTTGAGTGTGGAAGGCAGATTCTTTGGTAGTGATCCAGACAGCGCACTCGGCTTGGGAGTTAGCTCTTTCATTAAAGATGATTTTCCTTTTCTTGACTCCTCAGGATGAAGTGTCCTCTCGCCAGTACAAATAAGAGATTCCTAATTAACACAATTAAGAACACACTGCCCTCCCATAAAGAGCAAGACCACGAACAAAAAGAGGGTACTAAGGAAGCTGCCAAAAGCCAGGACCAGAAAGACGTGAACCCCAAGAAGCAGAGAAGCCATCCCTACAAGCGCAGCCTGCGTGCTCGAGGCTCGGTGGGCTACTCCCCGCCAAGAAAACGGGGCACCCGGGACAAGAGCGACCCACGACCCAGCAGGCACTGAGGCCACCACGCCCAGACGGGGACGTCGGCACAGAGGCGGGCCGGCAGGGTGGACACCTGAGAGCGCTTCCCCCAGTCCTGGTCTCTACAGTGGCTGGTAGTGACCAGACAGTGACTGTCAGCGGTTCACAGAAGCAAGCATGCAGAAACTTGCTCTGAACAAGTCTTGGCGAGTGTGCGCTCCTTTAGCAGTGTGGTCTGTACCCGTGTCGTTTTCATCCTGGTTTTTGTAGAAGTTGTTTTAAACCTAGAATTTAAACTTTTCAAACTGTTAAAACTGGTCCCCGTTTTTTGATGTGCTACAATTTGTTTGTTTCTCAAATAATAAAATAGTCGTAAGTTACATGCTTTACTTTTTTGGGGAGTCAAAATCAAATTTCAGAGATTATGTGGTCAGCAACCATATTTATGAAAAGTTGTAACCCTCCCTGGGCTGATAACTGTCCAAGAAGCTCAGTGACAGCTTTGCATTTGTTTTCCTTTAGGTGAACAAAGTAGGAAATCCTCAAAATGGCTTTGGACTTAATGCTTCAAATCAATTACCTGAACTTTAAAAATCAGCTTTTTTGTTTCCAGTGTATTTTCAAATTAATTCCTTAGCTAGAATAATTTCTCTACATTTAGTATGTTAACATATTGGTCTTAAGTGGTACTTTAAAAAGAACCCTCAAAATCTAAAATCAATAATTATTTTAGTGCTAGACCTTACTTAGATAAAGACCTGTAATGCTACATCAGTATAGTGGTTCCAGAGTTCTTCCTTTAAAATAGAAGTGGCTTTGCAAGCCAAGTATGATGGCACACACTGTACTCCCTGCAAAACAGAAGGCAGAGGCAGAAAGATTACAAATTCAAGACCTTCCTGGGCAACTCTGGGACCAACTAAGACCCCGGCTCAAAAACTTAGGAATAAGTAGGGGGAGTGTAGGGGTGTAACTCCATGAGAAGGCCCTGAGTTTAACCACCACTGCTGCAAAAAAAAAAAAGTCTGCAGTATCTTCCCAATACCTGTTTTAACATACAATAACAAATCTTTTGAACCTGTATTCCTTTTTCATACCCAAGAAATACTACCACGGAACCTCTTCGCCAGTCCACAGAAGGAAGAAGATCTGTCGTCTTGTTCGCTTTCCTCAGGTTCCCAAAGGGGCTGAACATGAGCTTGGCCAGCACCGCATCATTGGGAAGTCACAGCCCACTGCCCAGAAGCCAAGAAAAAGCTCCATGTGCTGCAAGGGCAGCTGCCGGGGTCTGAAACCATAAAGGGGGCTGTAGCTCGGCTCCTCCAGGCCAAGCCACTGAGCCCCACCCAGAGCTCTGAGGCCCACATTAGGACTCATCCTGGGGCTGCAGAGATGCACGTCCCTTTCAGAAGCAGGCACGGGGTCATGTGCTGCTTCTGACTTCATTCAAATCTAGTCCCACATCGACCTAGGTCATCTGGGCTAAATTTGAAGTGTTTTCATATTTAAGTATGTATTATAAACAGTGCTAGACCTGGAGATTTTTTAAATTCTTGTTATAATTCAGTAAAAATGAAGCTTGATTGTATCATTTTGTTATGTACTCTCTCTATAACAGACTACTAAGTTCATTTGATAGGCAGATTGCCAGTTCAAGCCCAGTCTGGGCAACTTATGAACTTAGACCTGTGAGACATGTTTAAAATTTTTTAAAATAACAAAATTAAAGGGCTATGGATGTAGCTCAGTTTGAAGGCCCCAGCACCACACACACACACACACACAAATGGTTATAATGAATATATTTTTACACTCAAGATTAAAGGAAGCTTTGTTGCCTAATTGTATTTATGTGTGTGTGTGGCAGTGGGGAACAAACTCAAGGCTTCCACATTGAGCTACACCCCTACATCTTTTTAACATTTTTAAAAATTTTGAGATAGGGTCTTAAGTTACCCAGGCAAAACGTGAACATCTGATCCTCCTGCCTCAGCCTCTCAGAGTACTGGGGTTTCAGGGATGAGCCACCACATCTGGCTACATTTACCTTTCTTACGTAAGTTGTGTTAAAGGACAAATGGCCTACAATCTATTTTCCCTTTAGAAAGAACTCCAAAAGGTTTTGTTATAATCCTACAATCCATTTTCCCTTTAGAAAGAACTCCAAAAGATTTTATTATAACCTTCAAAGTTTTCACCGAAAATGAGCATGCTTTCTGTCTATAAAAGGTCAAGAGTAAATCCTCCAGCTTTGCTCTGTGTCTGCACTTGATGCCTCAGGAACTGCTCCTGAGAAATGCACCAGCCACCGCCTACGTTTGTAGTTCACGTGGTGGCACTGCTGGGAGCCCCTATCCACCTCAGACCAGCTCATCGCCAGCAGAACTATATTTAGGGATCACAGAGCCCAAGATAGAGGTCGGAGAAACTGAATCTCAGCCCTGACTCTGGCTAGCAGGGGCACCTTATCTGGGTCACCTTTCTAGACTGCGTTTTCTTCAACTGCCAACTGAGCTGTTTGGACGAAGTCTGTAATTTTGAATAAGTAGAGCAGTATAAAAAGCCCCAAGCTTTGGGAACTTCATTTCATGTTTCCACTAGAAAACAAGACTTAAACCTAGTAGAATTTTTTTCCGATCTTTGTTTAAAAAACAATGCCTACGAAACATGAACTAAAAGCTGCGGTCTCTACCATGTCCAACCACCCATTTGTGGCCGCTTTTTCTGAACAGTCCATGCATGAAGAGGAAGAGCCCAGAGGGAATTTTACTGAGGGGCTGGGCACACGGACATTTCCTCAAGTCTGGCTCGGAAAAGTGACCATGGAGTTTTGAATGTCCCTATGATTATTTTGGGAGGAATAGAGGAGGCAGATTTGCTTGCATATCTGCTGGGTATCGTTTATCTTTCTATAATTGGTAATTGAAATGACTTATCCTGGCACTTTTATCTTTACATTATAGTCAGTTGTACACATTTCTGTCACCTCTAGGTGATACCATCATCTTTGGACTATACAGAGTATCTCACGGGTAAGCAATGCTTCTCGAGACCAGACATTATGTGAGATGAATTCCTGATAAAAGTGGAGCCTCACCCCTGTCCTAAGGAGACTGTATTCTGGGGTCCAGTGTAGGAGCCTCCTCTCGCTAGTGGGCCTGGATCTTTAAGAAACCATCAGTATTCTGTTCACACCATGTTGGTAAACTATCCCGAACCTATGTGAATCAGAGCGCTCTCAGCCCTAGCTAAGGACTTTTGCCTGAGTCCTTGTAGTCCTCCCACACTTATGAAGAAATGCCATCATCTCCACGTTACAAATGAGGGACACGGTATTTTAAAAGGTTTGCAGAGGGGGCTGGGGATTTAGCTCAGCGGCATAAGCGCCTGCCTTGCAAGCAAGCAGTCGTGAGTTTGATCCCTGGTCCTGATAAAAACGAAAAAGACAAAAAAAAAAAAAGTTTACAGAGCTAGGAAGTGGTGGAAATGTTATCTGAAGACATGAACTGATCCTGCTGGCATTCTGAGCAGAGAGACAGCCTCCAGAACTAGGAGAAACTTCTGTTAAACCACTAATTTGTAACACTTTGTTATGGCAGCCCAAATAGATAATACATTTTTTTCTATATGGTTGTTCAAGCTATCTCTTCCTACTTAATTACTCTGCTTTTTTTGTTTTGATTATTTTGTTTTAGAGCCATATTTACAAACATAAACATAATATCAGTATAAAAATCCATGTAAGTCGCAGATCCCTTTTCTTGCATGTTAACTCGTTTATTTCCCCATGTTCCCTGTAGTCCTATCTTGACATTAAGAGTTTGGAATGTTCTTTTACAGAACATAAGATCTGTTCTAAATTCATGACTGATAGGTTGTTCTTTCTCCCAAAGCCAGGATAGAAGAAGTTCGGAAACCAAGAAGTCAGTGTGGCAAATCTCAAAATTTAGATTAGCTATTTACTTCCAACAGCAAAATAAAATAAATTCTTCCTAATCTCCGAGCTCTGCAGGTCTGTGGAGCCAATGGAGAAAGGTTACTCTCAGGTTTCTTGTTAGTGATGCTGCTAAACTGGACATTGAAACTAGTACATGACGATCTCTGCGTCCCCTTGGGATCTCACTGTTGAATGGAGAATTTGATCCTTGGTATTAGAAAGAAAATAGGGTTTGTACTCTATTTTGAGAACTAGAGAAGCTTGAGAGGAATCTTGGTGATTTCCGCAGTGATCACGTTCCTGTGAAAGGTGAGTGTGTGCTCTAACATGGCAGGGCCTGGCGTGGCTGTGTGTGCACAGAGCATCTTCTGAACCTACACCAACATACTGAGAGCAGAGCTTGTCTCTGAGATGGATAGGGGAACCATACTGAATACATTCTCTCTGTGTATGTGCTTTTAAAGTATAAAATGTACAATCTCTGTAACAAAAACAACTGGTATCACACACAAGCTACAGTTTAAATAAATCCCCCAATTTCATTCATTAGAAACTTAACCCTTGCTGCAACAATGTGGAGAGGTGGGATCTTTAAGGGGTGATTAAACCACGGAGTTTGTGTCCTTATCTGAGGAGTGAGTTAATTATCATGGGAGCAGGTTTGTGACAAAAGGACCTGGTGTCCCTCCCACATCTGTTTCTAGTGTGCATGTATATGGATATGTGTGTGCATTTCACTTGCCCTTCAACCTTCTTCCACAGGATTTCAGTAAGAAAGCTCTCACCTAGGGCTGGGGATTTAGCTCAGTGGCATAAGTGCCTGCCTTGCAAGCACATGGTCATGAGTTCAATCCCTGGTACTGGTTAAAAAAAAAAAAAGAAAGCTTTCACCAGATGCTGGCTGCTCTGTTTTGGACCTCCCAACCTCCAGAACTATAAGAAATAAATGAATCTGGGCTTAAAAAAAATAATAAGTTACATCATCTCAGGTATTTTGTTATAGTACTGGGAAATGGACTAGGATGCTATATACCTATCAAATGAAATAAAATGAAAGAGATTCAGGACTGTAAGTCTTGGTAAGGACCTAGAGCAACCAGAATTGACCAGAGGATAAAATGGTAATTTCTTATAAAACCAAATATATAACTTAGTAATTTCTTATAAAACCAAATATATAACTTAGCTTATGACCTGGCAGTTCCAACCCTAGAAATGTAACAGAAATAAAAGCATTTGGTCATAGTAAAACTTGTAAAAATTATCTCTAATGTTCATAATTCATAATTGCTCCCAAATGGGAAAATTTCAGGAGTACATCAATTATAAAACATGGCAAATACATACCATTTTAGACAAAAGGGAGACACCATCCAGATGCACCTTGAGATCAGTGAGGACAGACAGAGGTCAGCAGGTGGCTTCCAGCTCCCAGCTCCTCAG